TTGGATTTTGTCAAAGGCCTTTTCTGCATCTACTGAAATAATGTGATATTTGTCTTTGCTTCTGTTTATATGATGGATTATATTTACTGCTTTACATGTCTACATATGATGAACCATCACTTGATCCCTGAGATGTATGATCCTTTAAATGATTTGATCAGTTTTGACTTGAATAGAATACCACCCTGTTTTTGGATTCCTGTTGCATGAATATCTTTTCCCATCCTTTTATTTTGAGTCTGAGTTTCCTCTTTGGTTAAATGTGTGCCTTGAATATCGTACACTATTGAGTTTTTAATTTCATTCTTTTGTTGTGTCTCTTGACTGGAGAACTGAGATCATTCACATAGAGTTATTACTGAAAGGTATTGCCCTTTTCCTGTTGTTGATTTTTTTTTTTTTCCTGTTGTTGATCTCCTTTTTATCTCCTCCTACTTAACTGCCTGGTGTATTTATCCTAGTAAGACTTTTTTACACTGTGAGCTTTATTGTTTCTTTCTAGAACATCCTTCAGAAATTTTGTGGAGTGCTAGTTTAGTGGTAATAAATTTCTTTAGGTGTGCTTAATCACAGATACATATTTTCCTATGAATTTTGAAAGAAAGTTTTGAAGGCTGTATCAGTCTAGGCTAGGAGCTGGTTTCTTTATGAGGCTGAAACACCTAACTCCAAACTCTTCAGGCAGGCCTTTAAGGTGTGTGTTGACAAATCTGCTATAATTCTAATGGGGTTTACTTTACAAGTTGTTACTTTTCTCTAACAGTTTGTAAAATTCAGTCCGTGTGTTAGATTATTAGGATCCCAGCTATAATATGTTGTATAGGAGCTCTTTTCTGATAGTGAGTATTTGGGGTTCTATATATCTTACTTAGATGTATTGAATTATTTTCCTTTTTTTTTTTTTTTTTTGGAAAGTTTTCTATTACTATTTCAATAAACAGGGTTTTTCACATCATTTGTACTGTCTTCTGACTTCCCACTAATTCCAATTAATCTTTGTCTTCTTTGTATCATCTAAAAGCTATTGGATGTAGTTTTCATATAGTCTTATTGTTTTCAAGGTATTTTTCTCCAACAGCATCCCTGTCTTCCTGTTCTGACACTGTCCTCACACCAATTGTTTCTACTAGCCATACTTTCAAGAGAATTTTTAATATACTTAATTCCATTTGGTACCTTTTTAAGGACTATAATTCTCTGCTAAACTGGTCATGCATGTTTTAGTTTATCTTATTTAGCTCAGATAGCTTTTTATTAGCATCACCTTTAGACTCACTGATCATTTTATTAAGTCCATGATCTCTTTAGTCAACTTCTCTGAGCTTGCTGAGCATCTTACTGATTTGCTTTTCTTAAATGTTCTAACAGTTCAGTTTTGTGGATTTTAATTTATGACCCCTCCCCTTCACTAGCCCATGTACTAGCTCTGGGGAGTTCACAGTTTTTAGAAGCATTTTGCTGCATTGTCCGCTCATGTTTTTAATTAGCATTTTGGTTTTTTGGTTTTTTGGTTTTTTTTGTTTTTGTGCTGAGGTTTGTAAACTGATTATAGTGGAAGACTTTGTTGCCATAGGGAGATATCTTTAGTATGTGTCTGCTTCTCAGTGATGCACTTTGGGTGTAAGCTTTGCTTCTGACCCAAGATTCAACCACCTCCATTTATTTTGCTGCGGTGTCTTTGACCCAGCACATAAGTTTCCCAGGAATAAACACAAAGGCACTCCAGATACTGGCATGCAAAGAAAACCAATCAATACTGACAACTATGCCACACTGGCAAGAGCAATAAACAGTAACAATGATAGTGTCAAAAATACTAAAAAGGGATTTATAATTATAAACACTAACACAAGCCAAATACTGACATAAATATGTAAATGTGCAAATATGACATAAATATGTAAATGCTGCAACTATACCTCCATTAACAACCCAGTAGTATTCAAGAGTAATGATACAGTTTACTATGTGTGGTGTATTTGCCAACTGTGGTCAACTTGCTACATCCATCTGAACTGAACTAGCTTGGTGCTGGGTGTGGGAGGCCCACCTGAGGACTGTTGGCAGGAGCATATGAGGCAGAACTAGAGAAGCTGTTGAGAGGCTGTCAGGAAAATTGGAGAATCTGTTGGGGGAACTCTCAGAAGCTGCTGGTTCTCCATGGCTATTCTGCTGAATGACCTTGTCATGCTGGCTTTCCTGGTGAATTTGGTTGTTCTTGTCAGACAAGGAGCTTGGGACCTCTTTGTTCCTGAGGGTGGCTACAGTTCACTTTGTGGCACTCTGATCCTCACTCTGAGGATCCCTTCCTGGTTCTGGAGGGAAAGGCGGTATACTACTCATTTCCTAGAGAAGCTTGTCGCATTGGCTTTCCTGATGGGAGCCCAGCTGTTCTCATCCTCAGAGGAGCTCAGGACCTCACTGCTGCTGACTCTTCAGAGGAGATCTGGTTCATTCTTTGAGCATTGTTTCCTGGCTCCAGTACAGATCCCTCTGCCTACTAGCACAGATCCTTCATACCTCTGGCATAGACTTTCTAGCTTCCACCACTAACCTTGGGACCTTCCCAGCACACATTCTGTGAAGTAGGCTTGCATGAGAACTGTTGTGGGATCTAGGCCTCCAGATGGACTTGCGGAAGGCATTATGAGCTCTAGGCTTTCAGCTGGACTCATGCAGGATATTAGGATACAGGCCCTCAGCTGGATTCTTTGGTCTTTAGTGTGTGGACAGATTTCCTGTACTCTTGGTATATGATTCTTTGCAAGACTTTTTATAAAATAATTTTATAAAATGTGTCCTGTACAGTATTATTCCCTTTGTGAAAACCCCAAACCATGATACTATGTAAAGATTCATAAAGCTTAATGATTATACAAATAAAGGGGCTGGTGAGATGGCTCAGTGGTCTAAAGCACGTACTTAAAACAAGCTTAGCAAAGCACAGGGACCGTGGTTCAATTCCCCAGCACCACATGCCAGCCAGCCCCATCCCCTGGTGGGCTGAGCTGGCCACACACACACACACACACACACACACACACACATAAATAAAATAAAATTTACCAAAAAAAAAACAACAACAACAAATAAAGTTAAAAGGGTTAGGGGCACGGAGACTGAAAAAAGTAGAATCTCAAAAATTAACCCATAGAAGATAAGCAGGAAAAAGAAATGAGATAAAGAATTCTACTGGGGAAATTAAAAAGGGAAAAAAAAAATTGAAAGTAAAACATTAAGGTCCATCCCCCTTAAAAATCCTGTATTTTGGGGGGCCGGCCTGCTAGCTCAGAAGGCTAACGCACCTAGTTAGGCAAGTGCAGCCCCAGTCGGCTGTGCTGGCCCCACCCCTGGGCGCACTGAGACAGCGATGGAGACTGGGCGTGGAGGTGCATGCCTGTAATCCCAGCACTTGGCTGAAAACAGGAGAATCACTATGAGTCTGATTTATGTAATGAGACCCTGTAGACCCTGTCCTAAATAAGAAAAAAAAAAATACTGTATTTTTGAATGAGTAACTTCTTTCCAACATCTACAGTCTTAGAATTCAGCAAGTCATGATTTTCTTTGCTTAGCTTTACAGCCTGTGGGTTTGTGAGGTTTCTTCTACCAGGCTCCAGAGGTTTCTACCTATACATCCCAGACCATGTCAACCATCCAAGTAGAAATGTGTTCTTGCTCACACTGGTAGACAGAGAAAGCAATCAGGCCACTGGTCTCTGATGAAGGTAGACACCAGGTCAGAGTTCAAGCAGACTGCTGGACCTAACCCAGCCCTTTCAGATCCATCCATCTCTGAAAATCTCACTCCCTAGACCTGGTTTCACATTACAGAGGCCAGGGGCCATACTTTTCCCAGCCTGAGCTTTATCTTTTCAGGGGCTCTAAATCTAACCCACATCCTCTCCATGGCTGCCTAACACTGAGTGGTCACTGTGGGAAGGTAATAGTGGAAACCCTGATGTGGAGCTGTTCCCAATATGGCACTGACTAAGCACTCTCTGGTGTTATGGCAGGCACTGCCCTGGGATTCTTCTCTAACATTAACCTATCATGAAGGAGTCACTTTCAGAGTAAAACCCCACTATTTTTGTAGATTATAGTATCCATGGGCTTCTCTAGAGGCTAATGCTGCTGCCATGTCCTTTATTTCTCTCTGTACCTGCCAATTCTCCAGGTCTTACCTTTTCTCCCAGGGTGTTGGTCTTGTCCTGCTAGGTACACTTTAAATTTGCAGAAGCACTGCCAGATTATTTTCTCCAAAATTTGTTCCAAGTATTATGCTCCAAACAGTATGTGTGAATACACTGTCTCCTAAGCCTTTCAAAAGCATCAGATGTTGTCATTCCCCTAATTTCTGTCAGTCTTAGTGTCTTTGTTGTTTTCATTAGCAGTTCCTGAATTTTAAAGTGGTAAAGAAACCTTAAAAATTATCAATTGTTTGCATTTCTTTGTCTTTCAACTATAAATTTCTAGCCTCTCCCAAGTAGACAGACAATTAGGTTACACTAAATGAGGGACAACCTTTCACTACTAATATGTTGCTGGCTGACTAATCCAAAGTACTATAAACAGAAACACTACATTATACAACCTCAAGGAATCCCACTACTTACAGTAGCAGGTGGCAACATAGGAAGAGGGGCAGTATGAGAGCATATGTTCAGCGGTGATATTACCTAACTAGGCATACACCTGTAATTCAAGCATTCTGGGAGGCTGAGACAGGAGGATCAAAAGTTCGAGCACTGGGTAGGCCTAATCAAGACTCTGTCTAAAAACTTTTTAAAGTTTAAGTAGATGTGGGTACTGGGAATGTAGCTCAGTGTTGAAGGCCTTGGGTTCAATCTCAAATATTACAATAGAATAGGATAAATGATAGAAATAAAGAGGGATGGGGTCAGGGTAGAGAAACAGCTGAGAACATAGCTCAGTGCAAATGCCCTCAGTTCAATAAAAAATGCATTTCAAAAACAAACAAAAAAAAAATTAAAGCTTACCTTGACTTTGAACCAGATGAAGAATTTTTGATGTAACATGTCTAGCAGTGTCTGATTCTGAAGATTCAGTACTGATCTTCTCCAGCTGAGCCAAGAGTCCCACAATCCGTGAATTATTGGTAACACTAAAGAGGATGTTACTTTATATTAGAACATATTTCATATCAACTCTAAATTCAATATTATAAAGATCATTACTCTTCTAAAAACATTAAAGCATGTCACATTTCCTTAACTGTTTTGTAATTATTGCTAAAATCTGATTTAAGAAAATATTTTCAGAAAACTACAAATCACAAATGTGCACTGAGGGATAACAAGATAGCAATGGAGACACGGTGGAGCTTCATAAACTGAAGCTTGCTGAACTAAAGCAAGAATGTCCTGCACATGGTTTAAAAACCTAAGGAATAAAACAAAGCTCATCAACAGGCTCCAGGCATATCCTGAAGAGTGTGCCAAAGAGGAGGCAAATGAACATGTACTGGGAGATGAAACAAGAAGAAGAACCAAAGCCTGTAGAACTGCCCGTCAAAGAAGAAGAACCTTCTGAAAAAACAGTTGATGTGATAGGCTAAAGGAAAGAGCACAAAGAGTTGGTCTGAATGTCTCTTCAATCTCTAGAAAGTCTGAAGATGATAAGAAGCTGAAAAAGAAGAAGGAGAGATTCGGGATTGTCACAAGTTCAGCCGGAACTGGAACTACAGAGGATACAGTGGCAAAGAAAAAGAAAAGAGCAGAGCGCTTTGGGATTGCATGATGAAAAGTTCTTCATGCTGTCTCTTCTCTGGTGGTTTCCATTTCTGATTCTTCTTGGTCACATATATACCTAAGTGCACAGTCATGTGCCTGTGTTCTGCCTCACAGTGAGAGAGCATGTATACCAGGTACATCTGAACTCTAGCAGCAATGTGACCTACTGCTGTTTCAACTTTAAGGTTGTTGTGGTTTTGTTTTTAATTATTTTGCTTGCCAATAAAAAAAAAAAAATAGAAAAGAAAAAAAAAGTGCATTCAATCCCAGTTCAGCGATTTTATATCACAACCTGCAAGTTCACCTTTCCACTTTCCAAGACTTTTTACACTGTCTCTGCTCTTCTCATGACTCTGAAAATCCCTTCTTGCTATCCCACTCCACTTTCAATTAATGTCTGCTTCAGAAAATAGCTATAAAATGAAACAAGAACATACTCAGTTTTTCCACCAGTAGATCTTTAAACTTACCTGATTCTCTACCTATATTATATTCTTTGTTTGCTGTTCTCTTTCATTATGCAAACATTTGTACATAGTCATGTTCCAGGTGTTGCCAACACGCTATAAGCAAAATGAAAATTTGTGTCCCTCATAAAATGAACATTATAATAACAAAGTCAAATTAAGTACATTGTAAATTATATAAGATGTCAGTTAGTGAAAGGTGCTTTAAAGGAAAAGCAGGTTAGAGAAAAATGAAAATGTAAGGGAGGGGCTGGGGAGATAGATCAGTAGAATAAGCTCCTGCCTGGCAAGCACAGGTTCCTGAGTTCAATTCCCAGCAACACCAAAAAAAAACACAAATGTAAGGGAGAGGGGCCAGATTTTAGAGCATTCTGGGAAGACTGAGAAGGAATCATTTAAGGATAGTTCAGATAGAAGCAAAAAGTTAAGAATAAGCCCTGCAAATTCCAGCAGAAAGCAGGAGTCACAAACAAGCACCAAGACCCCAAGGCAGGAGTACACCTGCCACATTCAAAGAACAAGGAGGTAGCTGTGTGGCCGGGGCCAACTTAAAAGGAGATGAGTGGTCACGGATGAGGTCAGAGATGCTTATGGACGTGGCAGAGAAAACAAGAATCTTGCAAAGAATTTTTTGGATTTTACAGTGAATGTAGGTAGTTTTTGAGGCAAAAATGATGTGTTCTCTCACTTTAAAAAACAAATGCTCTCTTCTGCTTCTTATGCTGAAATTCAAAGAACAATTCCTCGCTACATAAACTTGACATTCAACTTATCATCTATCTCTCCCCTTCAACTGAATCATTCCTATCAGCACAAAAATATGACTAGAATCTTCTGCCAGTTCTCTGCTATTCCTTGACAACAATGTCTGTACCCTACATTTAATCACATATTTCTCACTTTTCAAACTTCTGGTGTGACTTCTACACCCTGAGGTCTCCCAAAAGCCTCACTTCTATCCTTGTATTCAGCATCTCAGTGCCATCAAAGCCAGACAGTCCTTTTTTCCCTCAATTCGCTCTTTGGGATTCAGTAACTCCATACTCTGATTTTTTTCATATGACTGCTTCTCTTAGATCCTCTACCACACCTCTAGATGTTGAAGTCTTCCCCCACAACACAACACTGCAGCAGCCTGCCTCTCTTCACTCTCGCTACTCCTTTCCTGTGAGTGATCTCATCTAACCCCTCATCTATAATTATTTTACATGTATAGATTTATGCAATCATAAATGTAATCACATAGCTATCTAAAAATCCTTTAAGAGATTTGTCTTAATCTGTATGTTTTGAGCATTCTCTTCTTCCTCTCACAATCTGTTTGCTGAAAAAGCTCAAATGTAATACAGCTTCCCCCATTCTGGAATTCAAATTACAAATCATTAATATCATTAGAGTGCTTCTGTAACCTATACATTTCTTGCAAAATGATAACAATCTAAAGAGGCAAACAATATCTGTCTGTTACCCCAGCCATCACTTCACTACAGGCTATAAAATAGTAATAACTTTACGTCTGCATTCCATCCTTGTTTGTTAACTGGAGTGATTCCATGAAGTAAATTATAAACAATCCCATAAAGATTCTTTTCTGTATTTGGTTGTCCACAAGTAGACTTAATCAAATAAAAGCAAAGATAACAGTAATTTTGTGTATGTGTGGTTTTCTGAGACAGCATCTCACTCCAGAGTGCAGGCTGGCCTGGAACTCACTATCCTCCCACTTCAGCTTCCCAAATGCTAAGATGACACACATGCACCCCCATGAGGGACTGAATTTTTTTTTAATATTTAGTCCTGTGTCTACGGGGTACAAGGGTCTACACGGTCTCACTACATAGTGATTCTCCTGTTTTCAGCTTCCCAAGTGCTGGGATTACAGGTGCACGCCACCACACCTAGTCTCAATCCTCATCTCAGGGCACCCTGGGGGCAGGGCCGGAACAGCACGCTGGGGATCCAACCCTGGCCCCTGCACTCTGCCCAAGCAGGTGCTTTAGTCCTCTGGGCTATTTGACTGGCCCTTTGAACTTTTAATTTACTTATGTTTATCCATTTTCAGAAGAATTAGTTCATTCCTTAAACTCCTCCACAGCGTTAAACGATGTGCAGTATTTTAATTTCTTATAACAGGACTCATAAACATGTTTGTTATGTTACCCACTACACATATTAATAGTTAATTTTCCTATCTTTGATCATTCAGAGCCTCTTCAAGTTCTATATTGAGTCCTTTAATAGAAGTATTTAATAATAAACTGTCTTTATAGTCTCACAAAGCATTTAATGACCAGCAATTCTCAGAGTATGGTTTACAAATTCTGAAGATACCTGAGACATTTTCAGAAAGTCACTAGGTCAAAACCCTTTTTCATAAAATACTAGGCCACTATTAACCTTTGACAATGATTGACACAGGGCCAGGGAGATGGCTCAGAAGAATAAGCGATTGCCTGACAAGCGTGAGGCCTGAATTCAATCCCTGGTTCCACCAAAAGAAAAAAAAAAAAAAACAATGATTGACATTTGCACTGATGGTCCAAAGGCATGGTGAGTAAAGAGCTTACAACACAAATTCAAGGCAGTAACAACAAACTGTACTGATGCTCACTTACTCCTTGACTACTGTGCATTCACAGATCCTAAAACATTTCAACTTCACCAATGAGAAGATATCAACTCTTAATATTCTTGGTGTGCACAAAGCACTTCTGATGTAGTGATGTGACATCTTGGGAGACAATATTTGTGCAACTGAACTGCAAGCTTAACTAGTCACAGTTTTCATAGAACATCATTATTCAAAAAGCAAAAGATAAACTGATTACTCAGATACTATGGCAGACATTTTTAAGAAAATAATCAAAATTATTATAATAAGGAAATGATTGATGTTGCCAATGGTAAAATTTGGGCTTCTGAGCAAAAATCGTAATTCTAAAAAACATCAATCTACCATCATGAGCTCCATGGCTTCCCAATATTTAAAAAGTGTTCAGCATTAGAGATTTTTATCAGTGGGACAGAGCTTCCCTAGCAAACACAAAGCCCTGGGTTCTAGCCCGACAGACAGACAGACAGACAGACAGACACACACACACACACACACACACACACACAAATATACACATACCATTAATCAACAGTGACATTTAAATGTAATTTTTATTAATTTTAAAATGTACATTTAAAAGGGCTGGGGAGATAGCTCAGTAGAATAAGCGCTTGCCTGGCAAGCGTAAGGTCCTGAGTTCAATACCCAGTATCACAAAAAATAAAAAAATAAAGCAAAATAAAATGTACATTTAAACCATCTCCATAGCTCACTGAATCAGTATTTTCCAAATGACCCATTCATGTTACGAATTCAAACATGGATAAAAGAACCATTCAACATTCAAGCCAGATCAATGGATTTTAATGTAACAGAGTATAAAAAACTCACAATTGAATTTCAGATTCTGCAATGAAATTTTATCAGAGAATATCCATTTAAATTTGAGTTTCAAGGGCCAGCCAAATAGCTCAATGATTAAAGCGCCTACAAGCAGGCGCAGGGGCCAGGACTTCAATAAGTTTTTTTAGTTATCATTAGTTTAACAATATAAAGAGCCACAGAAATAGCTCAGTGGTCTAAGCACTTGCCTAGGCAAGCACAAGGACCAGGGTTTGATCTCTGGTACCACATGCAGTGCCAGACCCACCCAAGATACGCCAAGCTAGCCACCAAGACTGGGCGTGGTGGTATATATCTATAATCCCAGCAGTGGAGAGACTGAAACAGGAATATCACTATGAGTCAGAGCTGCATAGTGAGATCCTGTTCCTGATACATTAAAAATATATATACATATATATGCATATATATACACATACACACACACACACACACACACACACACACG